TACTGGATTGTCTGAATCTTCATCTTGAGTGTCTTAATAATTAATTGACCTCATAGTACGATTAAATACGTACCTACTCCTTAAGATACTATAGGTGGTATGATAAAATAAAACGATAAACAGGAAAAGTATACATAAGTGGATGAAATTTAAATTTTTACTTCCACACAGTTACTGCACTTAATCATAATATGCTGAACAAAAGAGCGTATTTAGATAGAGAGAAACCAAGTGCCATAACAAGTAGTTATTACATTGACTAGTATAGGAACTTTCTAGAGACTAACGTAAAACAGCGTCTTATGCGGTAAAGCGTTTTAAGCGGGACCATCTTAAGCGAGTTTTATTGTATATGCGTATTTGTGCGTTTTGCTTTAAAGGTGCTTTACACTTAGAATTGGTTTGCGATCTCACTACGGACTCCTATATCTCCGCACTTACAAAATTTATATCACACAGAAGAATACACAAGAACATTTATTCCAATAATGTGACATGCTCCGTTGGTGCAAGTAATAAAATTCATGATTTTCGTCGATTTATTCACACGGAAAAATACCGATCTCGTATTCAACAATTCAAGAGATATTACATCATTTTTACCTCTTAGAGAATACCACTTTAATGACCTATGGGAAGCCATAGTTCGAAGTGTTAAAAAATACCTTAATCGCTGTTTACCAACATTCAATTTTACGTAAGACGAAATGTATACATTGTTCATTCAAATAGAAACCTATCTTAATTTACATCCTTTAATTCCTCTATCTTCCGATCATCACGACTTATCAGTTTTCCATCCAGCTCATTTCCTAATTAGAGACTCACTAACTGGTACTGCCAGAACCCGATATTACAACCATTTTCCAACATTCGTTCTCTCGTTAGCAAAAATTGCAAAAACTGTCACAACAAATTTGGTAACGATGGGGTACGGAATAAATCACTCAATTTCAAAGGCGTCATAAATGAGTTCAATCCAGAAGATATCAAATGCAGGTCGGGTCACTGGTGCTCTTAAAGGATTCCACTCACTACCACTCATTAAATGGAGTTCGGGCCGAGTTATGAAGGTTTTCCGGGGAAGTGATAGGGAGGTCCTAGTAGTTAAAGTATACACGTGGTGGTGAGAAGAAAAGGGTAGTTCAGGTGCCATATCCACTACCAATAGACGTAAAAATTAAAATTTAAAATTTAAATATTATAAAATTATATTCTTCATTATTATTTATTATTATTAATTAATTATTATTTTTATAATTGTATGTTCATTTCTCGTACATGATAGAAAGATAAACTTGTATTATTTATAAACATTCATTAGATTCACAGAGTTTCTATATTTTGTAACTGCTGTAATTGAAATAATATTTTAATTGCGGGCTAATTACTTTATTTTGTATTGAACATGTCTGTTTAAAGAAGCCAGCACGTTCGACGAGAATGATTATCGCCGACAAGACAACACGTACCTGCGATTATCAAATTGTATTTTATCTTTGTTATATTTTGTTCTAAACCTCAAATCAGTGAGTGTGTGTGTGCGCCTGTGTGTCGATCCGGTGCCACACGCCATGTGCGCGCTCGGTATCATTACTACGTTTGAATATAATTAAAATATTATTTAATCAATTTTTTCTAAATAATAGTCAGTGGCGGCTCGTGCTATGGTGCACAGGAGCACGTGAACCACTCGACAAAATTATCAGATTTCTATAGTAAATTATAATCGGTTATTATGCACATAGTCTATAATTAACAAAAATATATAGAGTCTTTCAAAAAGAACGCAGAATTTAAATATGCTATAAATTAAAATTATTCCTTTTAATAAAACATAGCAAATTTATGTTTAACGAAATAAGTAAATATACGAGTATTTATCGTGAATATCATAGGTACCTAAATAGACGTGCCGTAAATACGAGTAAACGCTCGTGTGTTGGTATGATCGAGTAGAGTACATTTTGTTTACGCGGTAAAATAACGCCCGTGTATTGCCGTCCATACCTATAATAAAATTAATATTTTTTTACCTCCCAGCACAAGTATCTTACAAAATATTTGTGCACCACTTTATTTGAACCTCATGAGCCGCCACTGAATATAGTCCATTTATATGTATATATGTAAAAAACAATTGGTATTCATTTCAATAAACCCTCCTCCTATTCGTGTCAATGGAGATAAAAACAGTATCTCTTTTTTGTTCTTCTTACATATAGAAATAAATAAATGTTTAGCATGGAGTACTATTATAATAGTAAAGTACAATATAACCTAATACTCTAGTTTAAGTATTTATTTATTTCTATGTATAAAGTATTTGTCTATGTATTTATATTACGAGTGTTAATAGTTTAATAACTTTTAATTTGAATTAAATTTTTTATTATTTTACTCATTTTTCTATTTTGGAACCATAATGCCATAATGGCATTCCTACCGCATTACCAGCGAATTCAAAAACAAATATATTTTATAACATTAGATCCGGTAAAATATCAAATCAACAAGATTTTACGGGAAAATTACGTGCGGCAACGTTTCAACCGCTAATATAAAAGTACGAATAAAAATTCATGCGGAATCTAGACCAGTTATCTAGAAATAAAAGATACCTTTATACATGATAGAAAACAAGTCCGGACGGCTCATGTAACTTTACATGAACATGAACATGGACTCGACTGGAGCACTATAGTTCGGGTTGTCATACGTCCCAAAAAACCGGAATTGTCATCGGTTTTGAACTTCGTGTCCCGGTGTCCCGAAAAATGTTTTCATGATGTCTACATATCCCGGCTTAGACGTTTAGAGAAAATGTTAAACTGATTCATTTTTAATTTCGACGATTTTATCTCTAAGTACATTTTTAATTGTAATTGATTAACAATACATTATAAAAACATAATATGTAATTTGCACTTATAAATATATAATATATTTTATTTTACAAAAACATTTTTAAATATTAAATTGCCGGCCATTAATGATATATTAAAAGTAATAAAAGTAAAAAAAAGGATATTTTTCAATAATGTGTTTGTTTTGTCCCGGTTTCGGCTTATAAATTTATATTATAAATTGATGGTAACCCTACTATAAGTTTGAGTATAAGTTACAGGGTTCGAATAAACAGTGCGTTGATGGAAGTAGACACAAATATCGCGATTTCACCCCTTTTCCACAAGCTCGATTATCAATCGTGACGCCCGATTTGATTAACCGAACTAGTTCTGGAGATGTGTCACGAGCATTCGCGAACGGTACGACGACCGCCTTATCTGTTTCTAGCTGCCTCCGTGGCCTTTTACTGTTCTTTTCAGCATTCTAGTTATTTTCGCCAAGAATATATATTATTAAATCTTATTCCTTTTTCTTATTATTTTATTTGAATGTGGTTTAGTTTTTTTGTCTTTCTAAGATTGTTATTACCCTTTTATTATTTGTTAAATTTATTTATTTTTATTTTCTCAATAATAATATACATATATGTATATTTTGAATCATGCATCGCGACAATGTTCGTTACGTTTATTTTGTTTCGTTTAAATCTGTTCACCTTGAAAAGCGTGTGATTTATAACTATATTCGAAAACCCAACTGTGGTTCTCCGCATTATTATATAATGCACACTCATACACCGTACTTATATTCACTGATTAGTATAATTATATACAGCAGATTTGCTTTGAATTTAAATATTTTTCCGTGCATGTCAATAAAATTATAAATTCAAATATTGTGTGTGATAAATAAAAGTAATCGAAAACTATCTATTAACCTGAATAACCTGAATATCCTGAATTAGGTGAGGTTACCTAAGATTGAATGTAGGTTAAGCTGCTCGGAATAATATTTTATTTTAATTACATATGTTGAAAAATTCCACGTTGCTATCTATTTGAGTTGGTTTAGGATTTGATTTGAACTGAAAAAATAAAAAATAAACGACTGGTAATCAGAAATAATTACTATCTATTCTAAATATGATTTTACTATCACCAGTTTCCAATACACTCGTTACACCCAGACATATTAAAATTGTTTATATCAATAAAGAACATAATTAGACTGTTTAATGAACTAATAATAATATAATATATGAATAATAATAATGCATATGCCATACATAAGATGCAAGAGCTGATTTAATAACGCACATGCAAACAGAGTAGATAATTATATTAAATAGTTATTTGGTAAGTAATATTTTTAATTACACAACTATAATGCAATATCGCAGGATTGTTACGCATCTAATCAACCACAATTGTTTGAATAGGAAGAAGAAAATTTAAGTAAGGTAATTTGTTTATAATTACATAATTTAATGAAATATAATATTAACAAAGTTAAGTTAACCTTACACACGTTATGCAATGATTACGAATGCACGCGAATAAAATAGACGCAAAAAACGACCAGTTTCAAACACCGCTAAACGTATTTAAATCGTTTAACTTAGTAATGTATAATGTGTTATCCAGTGGTGGTAAATTTTATGGACAGAATAATCGCCTATAGGGCCAGTAGAGAGGATCCTAGCCCGATATTGTTTTCTACTGTTAAGCCTTAACTTCTTCTGAAGAGAATGATATATTTGTTAAGTTTTTTTAAAAGAAATAAATTTAATACATAGCAGATTTAAATCTTGCGTTCTTTTTGAAACACCCTATATAACATACATTACTACTCTGAGAGTGGACTCGCACGGATTAATTCGTTGAGATATAAAAATAAAACGATAAAATGTTTTCACAAGCACAAAGATCTCATTGAAGCGAGGAAACCACAGCGGTTAGTTATGTGAATGGATGACTCAGGAAGTACATTGAAATGCGACAACAGTATAATATTATTATATGGTTATGTTTAATATTAGATAAATATTTATGAATACGCAGCAAACAATATAAACTGCTTAACTAAAATAACTACGGAGACAAAAAAAAAATCAAAAACAAAAATAAAAATTATAATAATTGAACAAAATATATGTATCGAAAAATATATTACGCTTACAATCATGAAAAATGTCCTTAATAAATATCACTAAATATAATTTTTCCATCTAAAAAAGAATTATACAAAATAATATTTGAGCATTCGGACGAATACTACAAAACTTTCACCGTTCTCTTCATTTGCAGTATTCATTTTCCTCGATAACGAAAAAAAAAATATAATAATAATTATAAAAACCGTTAGCCTTAATATAAGACGCAAATCAGAAAAAATAAAAACAATTTTACTCTTATATTTTACGCTAAATTGCGTCTCTACACAGGTAAAGGGTTGAAATTATTATTATTTTTTTTTTTTTGTACTACAATCTTTAAACATTCGTCCCCTCCATTTAAAAAGAAATAAACATTAAAATTACAATCACATATTATACGTTAATTTCGGTAACCTAAAGAGATTATATAAAGTTCACATCGAACGTAGAAAAAGAAGAAATTGTTAATTTTATAACTTAAACATTTAAAGATCAATTGTAACGAGTTTATCGCTGACAACAACAATGAAAATGATAATTACAATTACAATAATCATATCGGAATCGTATCAAATGAGATAGACCAAATAAAAATTAAATCGTTTATTACGCGGAGTGAAAAACGTTTTATCCCAAAACCAACACAAGCACGCGCCACGTAGTTAATGCGTATTATTTTTCAGTAAATAGAAAATAAAGAAGATTAAAAACTAAGCGGTATAACAAGCAACTATAAAATGCAAAACAATAAAGGTCGAAGGTATAATATATTTTATAACGCAGAGCCTGCAGAGCGTGATACACGCGAAACATGGTATACGAAACACGTTGAAACGAGGTGTCGAACACGAGGAAAAAATTTGCAGAGAAGATAAACGATAATAATTACAATATTGCTCGTCTAAGCAATACTACAATTCAATTCAGATATTGCTATACCATAAAGATGTACGTAGATGTTGTCCAATATGGTGCATCGAACGTACAGAACACAACAACGATAATAACCTAAGGATGAGTGACGGAAAATAACCTGTTATTTGAGATCAAAACAAAATTCGGGCGCACATCATAAATATTTCCAACAGCGACTGGAGATAACATGGATGGCCGATCGATGTTGTTGTTCGCGACGAACCCTTCGGCTTCAATATTATTATAATCACGTCGTTGTAATATAATATAATAATAATAACATTCGTTTCGAAGATGCTCCGCGTGCGTGTGTGTCGCACGTAAACAGACGGGCTCTGCGCATTCACATATATTATACAACTACAACGTAATAACGATATTATATTATATTGTCGTACGAAGTGTTTACTAATATGTAATCGAATTGGAGAGACGGAGAAAAAAAACGAAAATTAAAAATTATAATCTATTACAAAATATAATATATATATATATATATATATGTGTGTATGCACATATATAGACGGACACGAGATTTCGACGGCAGTGGAGGGAGAACACGTGTTTACAATCCTCTCTGTTTGCTTCGTCGTCGTCATTGGAAATCCGTGTTCACGTGGTGATGTTGCCGATTTCTAGAGCTTTCAGTAGCTCCGCACCCTGCAACAGCACACCGTCCGCTGGCGCGTTAACGTCGTAGTCCTGCTCGGTCAGGTCCATTAACGACGGTATGGCCTTGCTGCCCGGGTCCAACAGACACGAGCTCTTTAGCCGTGATCGGTGTTTCGGCTGCGCTTCGTCTTTGACCGCCGATTTTTTCATTACTAGCTTGTCCCTAAGATTTTCGACTGCATTGTTCTGTAATATAAATATAATATATATTATATATAAATATAATAAATAAAAAAAAAAACAGTTAACAACAACGATACTACAGCAGTAATACATAAACACAACACCAGAAATCACGTCGTCTACATATACGCGATGATAAGCAAACGTGCATTCACAACGATATTAGATATAGATATTTTTTTTAAGGAAAAACGGCAAAGGGACATTAAATAATTACGAGGAAAAACCATATGGTCTACGCTTTTCCTATGCCGACGTGTTCTTCTTCATACCCTGGTGGTGGGTTAGGATGCCATTAAAGTTTTACGTTCACCTCCTTCCCCGCCCGACTGAATGTGCACACGAATAATGAGAACTAATTTACAGTACAATGATTTCGATGCAAGCTTTCGAATGGAAAAAACCACAGCCTACTCCAGATAATACCCTCTTATACGCGCACTTTTTAGCCAATTCGATTAGTTTCGTCAAAAATAGATTTTCGCACACATTGTTTGAAATATAATGCCGTTCGACATCAATCGCACTTGTTGACGGTATATGTTGTACGAATTAACTATCCAAAAACGATTTATCAACAGAAACGTGCGTTTTGCATATATTGTCTTAATAAACGTGATGCTTTATTGTCATCGATAGTCGTCGTACATCTTTAGATTTACAATAAATGTCTATAAAGGTATTGCAACAATAATGTACATGAATCGTGGCAACGAGTGATTTTTTTTCTAGACTACTGAAATAATCCACAGATGATCGTGAGAACATAGGTTTTGACGCATTAGCAACGATCATCATAATGATTTATAAATAGCCACGTGTGACCAAAATAAAATAATACACGTCGACGACGTTACAGTAGCAGTAACAACGTTATAGCCGTGGCGGCTGATAGAAATATTTATTTTTTTCGAGTGTAAAGGAAAAAAACACGTAACACGCGTTCGTGTTAGGACATAATTTTTTTTTACAAATCTACAACGAGCCAAAGAGGAGCGTTCATTTATTTATCATTATACAATACTGCAGTGCCAAAAGGATGATCAAGAGAGCAATATAAAAACCAAAAAGTTTCGTTCTTTATTATCGACAAAATTATTTTTAAAACAAAATAATATGCATGTGTATTATAAATATTATATTATCATAAATTACGTATAATAACAAGTATCAAGACATTGTATAAACAATTAACGATGTCGATGACAATGTACACCACCGCAGGATCTGAAAACATTGGTCGTCCGATTTACACATAATAATAATAATATATAAAGAACGACTAAACAAAATACATATAGATAGACCGAGACTAAAAGTGTTAGGATGATTATTATTATTTTCACCGTTTTATTTTAACTAAAGAAGAAACAATATATAACAACATAATATAGCATATGTAGTATATGTTAGGTGAGTTTTGTATACGGAAATGCTCCTGAATGTTGCTCACGAGCACACGAATTGTCTCGTATCTATACGCTACACACGAGCAAAAATACTTTATATATCCATCGTTAATTCTTCTCTTCTTCGACTATATTTCAAATTATAAACTATGTATTTTGTACACGGAGCACAGACGTCGAATATCAGTATTAGGAAAAATATAATAACATCGCGGCAAACACCGACAGAAGCCGAACTTCCAGCTTATACTTAAACAATTTTAGGCAACCCAGTGGAGGGATGGGTAGGAGTGTATAAGAGGACGACATGCCCGCGCCCGTATACTTTAAAACAAACACGTATAATTTATATATCTAAAGATCACGCCTAACGGTTTAACCAGTTAGAGCTTTTTCACGTCACTTAGCCGTCACAGCGCTATGCCGCTGCGGGGCAACGTGCTGTAGCTGCCGGTGGTGGTGATAGAAACGCGAGGAACGCTGCGGTGCAGGGACCACGGTATCAGTCGCGATCCCGGTGTTTTTCTGTTTAGACGACGTGAAACACACGTAACCGGCACTCACGTCGCATCCGCTCACCAGCAGGTTCATTAGCACGCTGTTGGACGTCCCTTGTTTGGCCGTCTCCTCTTGCTTGCAACGTTTCCATGGCGAAGGAGTCGGACTCGCGTTATGACCGACCCGTTTCACGCCACTATTTGTCCTGCACATGCTGTCCAGTTGATGATCGTCTGCGGAAGGATATCACGGGAAAAATCAACATTCACGTTCGTACCTCAGGAGAAAGGATCTCTATTTCTACGGTCCTCTCCCCCGCCTCCTTCCTATACGTTATAGTAATCGAGTGATCCTTACCTGTCACCTCAATAGCACCACCCGTATTGTACCTTTGATGCAACATTTTGCTAATCGACCCCCAAGAGTCCCCGTCACTACTGCCGAAGTGCTGTTGCTGCTGTTTACAAGACGCAGCGGCTACCTCAGTTTTCAGTAACTTGGCCAAACTCGGTGACGTTGGAACATCTTTACAGCAGGTGTCATGCATGTTAGCCGTAGTAGGTATGTGCCTACAACAAAATAAGTTAAAACGTAAGCTCAAGTCCGCGGACGAAACAAGATCTATCAGCAAACGATGAGGGGTCACCCTAAATGCACGTCTATATTATCCTTTTTGATCCCTCTTACCGTCACATAGTTTATGTGCCAACTAACTTCTCGATATCTACATAATCTCAAACTACCAAGTCTCGTCTAGAATGACCTTTACGATAAGAGTTCACCTATACGAGCACGTGCCTCCCCCCCCGCGGCCAACTAATCTTCAATTATTCTAATACCAGTTCGTAGTCGGTTTCGGCGACGGAGATCTATCGCTGCCCCAAAGTAAGTCACCCGACAACAGCGGATACAGGTCGTCTTCGTACATGGGTATGTATTGGTTTTTCAGCGATAGGTCGAGGTCCAGGTCGTTTGGGCTATTATCTAAGTCCATTCCCAACAATGAGGACATGGTAGGGTCGCACAGATCGGCGGTCTGCTGCGACAGATCTTCGCCAACGTTTTGCATCGGTGACGGTGAGCTGGTTGACGAGTACGTATCGTGCAGAGAAGATGCGGGTAGTGAGTCGAACGGCGCGAGCGAACAGTCGGTTAGGATCAAATCGTCCAACACGTCGGACATGACGAAACCCAAGTGACCGAGGCCGCACGTGTCCAGCGGTACGCACACATCACCAGCAGTCGGAGCCAAGTGAGTTAGATCTTCAGGTTCGTCTTTGAGCACTTTAAAAGAGGAAACAAAAAAAAATTTAGAAAAAACGGGTTAGGGATTTTCCGAGGTGGAAATATGGAAAAGCGATTTACTGGTCAGTCCCGTGTCGTCATCCGAGAACGTCAAGAAACCTTTGTTCATATCTTTGGTCCGCGGGGCGAATATATTGGCTGTGGTGGCTTTCGGGCTCTCCGAGCAGACTTGTTGCTTTTTCTTGAAGACGTTGGCAGTCGATGATGCTACAGCTCGTGCCGGTGCCGATAGTACCTTCGGTTGATTTTTCACATCCAAGTAAACTGGTCCATTGCCAGACGGCAACAAAAACGTAGTGGAATCCACCAGGGCCTTTGGTCTGAAAACCTTTTTGGTGGACGATTTCTTGATCGCAGTTGCAGGTTGCTGCTGAGGTGGCAGCGGCTTGGCTTCTATGGTGGGTTTAACGACTGTTGGCACTTGACACAATGAGTATATTTCGTCGCCGTATTCCACGCCACTGTAAAAACAAACAAAACGAATAACGTGTTAAAACAATGAAAGAAAAATGGTTTTTCATGTAGCACAACACAATAATAAGTTATGCGTACGGGTATTTTGATTTTTCTTTTTCTCGCATTATCAATTTTATAATATTTCTTTCTAATTGCCTTTCTTTTTCCTCTTCTACTTGGCAACCGGAGACCGAAAAGAATGTGCCAATTGGGACGTTTATTTTCGATTGCCCAGAAGTTCACAGCGAAAACGATAGAAGTAACATGAGAGTATAGAATGAATGATAACTATCGAAATATATTTTGCAACACAGATATTGGTGGAAAGATTTAAAAGTTCGGCTTTTATGAGCAAAAAGTTCAAGGCCGCTCTGTTACCTAATCAATTTGGTGCAGCATCTCCGTTATCAATAACGGCATATTAATATGCTAGAACTTGCTGAAGAATAATAGTGTTGATAAGAGTACACTAGTTAAATGTGTTGTCGGTGTATTTCATTTTTATCAGCATAGTCCATCGAATTATTGAACTACGATCAATAAAATTACTTTTTTTCTTCAAATAAATTACGATTTTTTTTTCAAATCAGCTTCTATAGAGATAAATTACGTATTCACCAACTTTAATTCGTTAAATTTAATTACTCATTAAGATTTTAATCAACGTATTAAAAATAAACAATTTCATTCATATTTTATGGGAAACCACACCAAGGTTTTTTGTTTAGCAACGGCTAATAAAGCTTCAATACATTTTGTCGGTTAGGTTTTATTTTTTAAGCCCAAATACTTGTTAAGATGTATTAAATATTATTAATAATTAAAATAACTATAATAATAAAAATAATAATAACAATAATAATAGTTATAATCGACAGTATACGACTGGTCAACGAACTGTTAACTGCTGACATTTACATGAATACGAATTACAAACGTACATCAATTCAATATAAAGTTTCCGAGTGGAGATGCAATAAAAAAATTAAAAAAATAAACAAAGAATAAAATATTTCGATAATTGACGCTTTACAATCCAAACCACATTCCCGTACACATTACTACTTCATCGAAGCCGAGAGCCAAATATTTCAGATTAATGTATATAATTTGGCATAAATGCATTAATTTGCTGCGGTGTCCATAAAAAAGTAAAAGTGAAATAGTGAACAATTAATAATAAATATACAAGGTACCAACAAACCGTGTACTTACATCGTTTAGAACCTATTATAACGTAAGACATTTGTTAGAAGAATGAAAAATAAACAACCATCATATCTTCAAGACGTTTCGATTTATTCTGCGTTGAATACATATAATGAAATTAATACCGGCTTAATTATAAAGTATTACAGCGTCTTAATCGTAGCAAAAACTGCTGCTTTTTATGACAGTTTAGAGATACGATTGAAAAAGGTAAATTTACTATCATTATTCGTAAAAAATAAACACGCGTCCCCGGGCGTAAGAAAAAAATTAAAAACGTTTAAGTACATAAAAACTATTAAAAATAACAGGAAGTGAGAACAGTACATTTTTAGCCGAAAAATTGTTAAAGACACTATAACAATATTAACACGCGATTGAGTTTAAATCGATCTGGTGCAAGTATAATACCACGATAGTAAATAAAAAAATAATTAATAATTTGCCAGTTGCATTTACCTTAAAATAAATAACAAATGAAAAAAAACCAAATAATATTAAAATAATAAAAATTATAATAAAATTAATAAAACGTTTGTACTACTAATAGGAATTTAAACTTTAGATCTATTATTAAAAACCAAAGTAAAACAAAACTAATGCTATTCGTTTTAAAGTGTACGAAAGAGATCACACGAAACTTAAAAAAAAAAAAAATTAACTGGCAGCTAGCACGCAACTGAATAATATTATTCAAGTCTAGACTAGACCAGTCGACAGCTGTGAGACAGAGTGACCACTATTACAAACATTTACTTACCGGCAAGGGAAACGAAAAACATAAATTTCAATTATACTATTATCATCGTTTTGTCAAATTTTTATCTAACAGTAATACAACTACAACATTCACGATTCACGTGCTCGAGAACACAGATTAGGTTCATTAATGTAAAGTATAATATAATATAATATACCTGTCAATACACGTTGATAACCTATTAATAAAATACAATAATAACATACGTACGTAAGTATAATAGGTATACTATATTGTAAAAAATATTTAGATTTTTTTCTTTCTTTCTTATTCCATTTCTTTCCACGTAAAAATAACAATTGTAAATAAGGCTCTGACGTATGCTATATCTATCTAATCAATATACGCGATCTCGATTTGTTTTATTTCTCTTACTCCCTTTAGACCTTTTTATTTCATAACACTACAATTGCCAACAGGATTCTATAGATAAGTATACTTAATTTAAGTACAGAATAATATGATTTAGGTATTTAAATTATTAGTTTACGAAATATTTATTAACGCAAGCCCATCGTATAAAAAGCGGTATTTTGCTGTCGACCACTCTTTTTAATGGTCAGTTTAAGCGATTTTGAATATAAATAATTTTAAATGTCTAATTTTAAGTTATTTCAATATACAACGTTTTGCAAACAAATTAGATATCTGTACTTTCTAATAATTATTTTTTTAAAAGTTTTTCCACTTTATTATTTTACAACATATATCAACTAAATTCATAAGACTGAAGCAAAATTTTAAGTTTCAGGTAGCAGAACATAGTGGTAATATATTACAGTGTATTTGAGGAATATAAAATAAAAAATAAAAATCGCCAACGAAAAAAATCGAAAAATTATTACATTTACAAATATGATTAGTTCACAAACGCGTTGTGAAGTATAATGACTTAAAAAAAAAAATGATTTTTTTTTTTACAAACATAAATTGATCAAGAGGAAAATGAGTGCTTTACGCCAAAAAAAAAAATCACCCGGTTATGCATGCATAAAAGTTTAATGTACGAATTTTTTTCTGTCTTAAATAGGATGTTGTAATTTGTATTTTTTGATCAACATCCATTTTCGTTATATAATGATATAAATAGTCATAAGTATAAAAAATAAAAATAAAGCAACATTATTACGTAAATGATGAACTATATGTTAAACAATGACAATAGATGTTCGCAAAAGTTCGATTTCATTACAACTGTATCGGAAATAGTATTTTCAATAACGATTTTTGGTGTAATTACTCTTTACACCGAACAACAATAACAATAATAATAAAGATAATAATTATGAAGATGAACATCAATTAAAAACATTGATACCACTATTAAATACCAATAGGTAATTTCAACGATCATAATTCGAATATAATATAGAAACACGTAGTGTGAAAATGAGACAGTTATAACGCTGTCGCCATTGGCCGCTAGTGACAAATTATACTAAGTAATTTTAAATGCATAAATAGCTGCAGTCTATCTGATGATCAAAGAAAAATATTTGTTTTTATTAGTTTTGATTCTCGTTAGAACGAATTGCATTTTTTTAAACGAATAAAATTTGTTTTTTTTTTTTTTTATTGAGAAATTAAGTTATTCGCGATCGACGTGGAATAACACGAGTATCAACACGTTATCACATTAACTATTTAATCGACAATGATGAACATCATTCTACATAAGATATGTTTAGATAATTATGTTATTTATTATTTGTCGTTTTTTTTTTTTCTAATGACATGAATAGTCAAGAGTTACGCACGTAAATATAATATGTACGAGTACGTATAAAACACTCTCAGTGTTAAAAATTCTATAATCTTAAAATAGAAAAGCGCGTGCATTTCCATAAACAAATCCAGTGTCAAAATTCAACTCGACGAACGGCATAGAACGACGAAAAACATTTTGCGCGGTAAGATGTTTAAAACATATTTATTAATTTTTTCGAATTATCGAACGAAAATGAATATATTATTACATGAACTATAACTAGATTTTCAATGCTTACAATAATGTTGCATTTGTCGTCGATAATTCGTATACGGGTGTATACAACTGTACGTTTGCAACCGGTTTAAATGTTCGTATTTTAAAATATGAGACGAAATTTATGAGAACACTTTGCTGCCTCGCGCTTTAGCATAGCACACGCCCTAGTTCAGTGTATACACATATATATTATATACATAAGATATACGCGAGATCTTTATGTGCCTAAATCACGAACCACTAGTATCTAGGCGTTTGCCTCGTGAATAAATTAAAACACTTGGTGACTGTGCATTAGTTTGCGAAAAAGAGTCAGACTCACCGTCTCTGACTAAATAATTACTGGTTCATAAATAAAATATATAAAAACACTCATACATATACGTGCGTTCTATAAGATCATTATGGGAATAATATATTGAATCTATCGTCGGGTCTGTTTCGAAAATCCTACTTATGCCCTTTTTTCTACGCGCAAGCCGACCTCATGATAACTCACTATTTGTAGCACACTGATACATAACACAAAATAAAACCAAGTCGATGCATCGGATGGTGGGTTAGTTTTGGGAACGACGAAAGAGATATTATCAAACAACAATATAACTATTTTCAAAAAGAAGTTCCCAAAGAAACAAACTAAAATTTACGTCATTAATTATTTATTCGTTTCTTTTCATTCTATAACAAAATCAAATAATATTCCCATGATATATGCATCTATAAGGTTTTAACGGTCTACCGCAAGGGTCTTCAAACTTTTGAAATGCAAGAATGGAGTTTGAACCGTATATTATACATAACAAAAGTGAATCAATAAATTAAAGTAACTAAAATAATTTTTATCTACTGGCAATAGTTTAAACTACACATTTTACTTGAAATACAATTGTATAACTAGTATTTTAGTGCAATATATTTGTTTCAAAAGAAATCAAAAAATCATAGAATCCATAAAACACGATTAATTTGATTAGATTATTATAGACAACTTTTAATTGTTTGTACTATGAGTACTTAAAATATACATTTTCCATTAGATTGTAGAT